CCATCCGGGCCGCCCTCTCAGTGAGCAGCAGCATCTGACAAGCACTCTCCTCCGTCATTTCGCCAGTTAACAAACGCTTCCTTGGATTTAATGCTCCCAAGTTTTTATAAATTCAATAAATAATAGAACTTTTGAAGTAGAAAAGAAAGCCAGAAACATGCTCCTGCTAAGATGACAAGCCCTTCCTGTGTGGGAGCAGCTGCTGTCCTAACACTTGCCATGGGCAAACTCGATCAGTTCCCACCGCAGCCCAGAGGGGCCGATGCCCTTCTAACCCCCGCATCAGGGAGCCGCGCTGGTGTGGTTAGAGCAGCTGGCCGAGCTGACAGGGCTGTGAGTGACAGAGCCCGGCCTCCAGCCTGGGTGTTCTCACCGTGAGTCAGGACACAGTGGGTCATGGAATCAACTTAGTAGATGGCCAACCAGCGTAAAGAAAACAACAGAAAATATCAGTGTGTTGCATATAGAGAGGGGAGGTATAAAAAAATGAAACGTGTGTGTGTGTACACATGTATACGTTATATGCATATATAGGATGGTGCACACGCATCTGTATGTAAGTGTGTGCTTGTATTGGCGGTCACTGTGTCCCATGCCATTTCCTCCATGCAGGGCACATAGTTGGCTGCCCTGAATATGTTTGGAATGAATGAGCCACCAGCCTCATAGCCAGAGCCCTGTGTGTGTGTGTGTTTCCTACAAAATACTTTCTGGACACCCAAGCCACCTGTCTGCTCAGGTCTCCCAATGGGTCAGGCCTATTACCACAGACATACCCATCTTTTGGTGGGAGTCCTTGCTGTGGTTTGGGCTCCACCATCCTGGAAAAGTTATGGATCATTGGAGGGTTTTAATGCTCTATCACCACATGTGGATCTGACATGAACCAGCTTTTGCATACCTACCTTTTAAAGCCTCGCACTCCAAATCTAAGACCCTCCCATCTGCACTCAACCCAGAGAACCAGTCACATTGTTGAGTACTCCTCGGAGAGCACTGATGTTTATGCACTCATCACCCTTTGTTCATGGAGGCTATAGAAACCTGGAAACTTCTAGAATCCATTTCCAATGGTGTAAATTAGCACCACTGTATTAAAACTCACCTGTGCACTGAGGGCCACATCATTTTCTGTTCAGAGTGTCCCTTGAGCAGAACACTTTGAAAAGCAGATTTTCAAACTAATTTTTATTAGACTTAAGTATTCGTGGGTGCACAGCTATATATGCACTACTGTGTATCACAACCTTGTTGTGACTTCGTGGGAAGAATCAGGGACCTAAGTTCCCTTTCTTCATCCTTCCTCATTCGTGTGCCAGGCACTGTGCTAAATGGTCCGTATGTATTGTGGGACCCTCAGCACAGCGTTTGTGGTGGGTACACTCTTGTGCTGGCACTGGCAGGCAGGAGGTGGGGCCGGACCAGCCAGGCTCTGAGTCTGCCCACCTCCCCCTTCCTGGGTCCAGCTGCTCTCTGCACTGAAGACTGAGGAAAAGATGGGCCTGTCCTTGGGAACAAGGCTTCGAGTGCCCCTCGTGGCGCCCTGCCACAGAGCAGCTGGAGCGAGGGCTCTGCCCTTCACCACCATGGGCAGCTCTCCTCTCCTCCCTTCCACAGTGCCCTTTTCTGATTTTCTTCAGCTTTCTTCTTCTTGGCCTGCTCTCCGTCCCTCCCTGCCTCCTTCCCCTTGCTCGTCCTTGCTCCTTACTTCTGGGCCTGCCTGACTGCCTGATGGTGTTCAGGGCTGAGGTGTCTGTGGACTGGAGGCTTTCAGGTGATTTCTAGCGTGAGTTTGGAGTGACTTTATGAATTTGAGTCATAATTTAAGAAGTCATTACATTTTTTCAACTCTGAGACATAATTGAAGTATAATGAAATGCCAATATTTAAAGTGTCGTTTGATCAGTTTTGGCGTATGGATGCACTCAGGAAACACTGAAATTAAGTGAACAGAAGCAAGAAGCGGCGGATGCTGTGGAGGGCCTCCTGGGCTCCAGGCGCTGTCAGGAGCGCGTGCAGTGTTGATTTTTAATCTCCCTGAGGAAGGTAAAAGACGGAGTGACTACTACCCCTGTTAATTAATTCATTAGGAAATAAAGGTGAGCAAATCTACAGAATGACAGATTTATTCTTAGAGACCTGCTTCTGAATTCTCTGGCTCAGGCGCCCCAGCACTGAGAACTTCAGTCTCCTCCATTAGCACTGGAGGAAGGAACTTGATACAAGTACGTGGGGGCCTCTGTCAAGGGTGATTTCGGCTTCTCAGGGATCTGGAGAAAGGAGATGTTTCGTCAGTGTCCACCGTGGAAACATTGCTGGGAGAAATGGAGACAGATGTCACTTCGCTGCCAGCTTTTTGAGAAATCCCCGTTCCATTTGGTGACAAGTGACCGTGAAAATTGTGGGTCCTTGCGAGTTTAGGGGATAAAAAAATAAGGATTTTCTCTGTTTCTCAAAGAAATATGAAGAGAAGTAAACACCCTGCTCACAAGCAAGAACTGTGTGTTGGGCCCTCAGCCTCACACAGCATCCCTGTGCTGTCTTTGGAACATCCTGTCGTTGACTACTAAAATAGGTTTAGCTCCTTTGTAATGAAAAGGCTTGTTGTTTTTTCTGCTCTTTGTGGAGTGGGCTGGGGGAGTTGGTCTGTGCTTCCTGGATTGCCATGTTAGCCTCCAGGCGTCAGAAGACTAGATCGTTTATTAATCGTGACAATAAACTATTTTTAACAGTAAGAGAAGTGGAAATACTGACTTCATATTGGTTATCAAAGAGCCTCTTTTCACTCGGCCCATCTCCTGGACCTTCGTCCAGTTGTGGTGGGATTGCCCCTGCCTCCCGCCTGCCTGGGGTACTAGGAAATAGGCCCTAATTTATGCTTTGTTATTTCTGTATGTGTGAATAAGATGAAGTAGAGCACAGGAAGAAAAAATGAGAGGCCAAACCTTCCATTCTCAAAATTAGGTCTAAAAATATATAATGTCCCCAAGTCTTGGAATGACAGAGAACAGTCGTCAAGGGCGTGGTGTGAGCAGGTCACGTAAATCTAAGTCATTAGAACACTTTGAAGCTGAGGGAGTTCTCCATACGTGATCCCACTAAAAGGTAGGGGCAAGTATCCCCATTTTGCAGTTGTGAGAAGTGAGGCTGTTTCTGGAAGTCCCAGAGCAGGCGGCAGAGCAGCGGTCCCGGGTCTTCTGACTGTGCCGTCTGGGTCCATCCCACCAGGCCACACTCGTCTGCTGTGGGGAGCTGGCGCCCATGTTCATAAAGCTCACCAATAAAGACACTGCTCGTGTGTGGACAGGGCTGGTGGTGTCTGAGGCTTTTAGATACCGAGGCATCCGCGGGGGCTGCTGAGTCCTTCCCAGTGCTCGGCCTTCAGTGCTCGCACGGCAGCAGATCCCATTGTTCCGATGGCTTCCTCTGAGTGGTGGAGCAGGATAAGCTGGCATCTCTGAGCTCTGTTCACTTGTTCTTTCTGCTCAGAATATTTTAGGGGCTGCCCTTCCCTTTTATGGTCTGTTAATTTCTATCGGCTGTATAAGAAAGAACATTTTGTTGAAGATGGAAAGATTCCGAGACCCATCCAGTCCAACCTGCTTCCCTTTTGTTGTGATGGTCCGAGGCTCCTACCTCATTTCCGTGCATCTCTGAAATTCCCTCCTGGATGTAAAGTTCGTTGGCATCCTGTCCTTAGAAGTTCAGATGGCCTGGCTGCCTGCAAGTAACGGGCATCGCCACCAGAGTCCTCAAGTTAACACCCTGTCCCGGAGTGCACTGTGGCCTAGGGCAAGGATTCTTTCCAAAAAATTGGTTTCTTTAGTTTTTTCCTACTTGTTTGTGTATAAATCTGTTTATAGTAAATTAAAGGAGAGATCCGGCCAGCAGTGGGTAATGATATAATTTACAGGGGCCCCAGCCAAAATGTTGAGATTGCTTACATTTTACTCTTGCCACAGAAGGATTACTATAAAGGGTCTCCCTCTTTCAAAGGCAATAAAAACAAAGAGTGATGGAAGGAGGATTTTTTTAAATGCACTTAATCACTTCCGTGTATGGTTAATGTTGAACTAATAATGGAATATGAAATGGTAGGCTGCTGGCTGGGTGTAGTTGAGAAGGCTTTGATGCGGTAGAAAATGGCCTGAGACTGGATTCTGAAAACCAAATTCAGGTAGAGTCTCCCCGTAAAGAATGTGCCTGAAGCGCCGAGAGCGGCCATGGGCTCTGCTCTGTTAGCAGAGGCAGCCGGTGCCGGGGTCAGACTGCCTTGTTGTGTGTCGGGTTTAGGGGGTGGGGTCCTGGCAAAGTCCTGCTGGTAAACATTTAGTACAGTCTGTCTGTACTCAGTGGCATCCACATCTGGCTTGTCTGTTTTCAGTGCCTTGTGCAACAGGAGCTGCTTGTGTCCAGGTGGTCTGCTCTCCTTCCTTTTCCCTCGGGCAGACACCCCGTGCTCCACAGCAGGCAGGCTTTGCCTCCTCAGGAATGTGGAGAGCAGTGTCTTCCTCCTTGTGCTGCGTTTATTGTTACAGACAGCAGCATTGGACCAGATCGCGTATTGCAGGAAATTAAGTAGTTGTGGTTCTAAAGGAAACCTTCACTGACAGCATACGACAGGATGGTGCACCAGCTGCATGGCTGGAATGTGCTCTTAATTTTCCAGTTACGTTTTACCTTTATCTGTTATCTTGCAAAATTGTGTTTAAAAACATCAAAACACCTAACTGAAAACTGCACTTTCCTCCCCTGAAGTTGACTAACAGCCCTCTCAATCAGGAACATGATGCCTTTCTTTGTAAAAGAAATTAAACTAAAATGAAATATGAAAACTAAAAGTGTCAACAGCATTAATGTACTTCAGAGAGGAACTTTTTCTAACTCCAATTCTGTCATTAAACCTGTTAGGCTAAGGAAACCTACCAGTTTGTTGCTTATTGGATTTTCTCTCATTTCTTAGGTTCGCCATCGGTGGTGTGAACTCATTGTTAAGCACAGATACACAAAAGCTTACAAAGATGTGGAGAGATTCCTTCAGGAGGATCAGGTAAGTTTCATTTGGCAGCAGACACGTTAAATGCTGTCCCCTGTCTGGTGCACTTAACACAGGGACCTAAGTTGTGAACATCTCTTTCATACAAATATTTAAACATTTCCCAGAGATTTTTAAGAAGTAGGTAGGAGCTTACCTAACACACTTCTGAGCTGTGGTGATGGGCCCTCTGTCTGGGTATGCCGTTGACTGCTCCCCCTCGGGAGCCCCCCCGGGTTTGCCTGGCTGTGAAGCGCACACACTTTACAGCGTCTCCGAGTCCCAGGTTGAGTTGTGGCCTTGTGATGCCATGGTATGTGTCTGTTTCCAGTCACGCTCATTTAAAGTGTGTGTGCAGATGACACTCAGAGAGCTCTGACTGGCTGGGGCAGTCTGGATCCACACCTGCCACGCCGTGCCAGGCCCCTGTGCTGAGTTTCCTTCCTGTAAGAACTCGCCTCACTGTTCACCAGGGGAAAGTAGTCCAAGGAACCCACGGATGCATGTCCCTGCCTGAACGTGTTTGGGGACGTCCTCCTTGCCACCTCTGCACCCAGCCACGTGTCCCCAGCATGGCCATCTATGGTGGTGCCTATGCCGCAGGTTCTGTCTGCTGCCGTAAGTCAGCCTGCAGCTCGTTCCTGTTGGCGTGACCAGTGGGCCTCTGAGCGAGCTGTCTGTGGAGCACCGTGGGCTGAGCGAATGAGGCTATGTTCCAGCTTGGGGTGGAGGTGGGGGTGGGGCAAACAAAAGGACTCTTGATAGGGCCTGAGTATGGGGGCAGCCCACAAGTAAGGGCTCAGTCTTCCCACAAAGAAAGTTACATGATTTTGTATGAGAAGAAATGTCACATTTGCACAGTGGAGCAAGAGGTGTTTGGAAACACGGAGGTGGGTATAAGAAGGACAAAATGGAAGTGCAACTTAAAGTATGTTCTGAAAACCAAAATTAACTGCAATATATTTAGAACCATGATCTCTGCCAGATAAGAATCACCATCTCTCAGCTTTTTGAGGAAAGCATTTTTGAACTCATGTTCACTACCCACTTTTTATTTTGTGCTATCTTTGAGCTCCTCCTTTTAATTTGTTCCGGCAGAATGTGATCCAGCATAACTGAGCTTGGAACAAGAGAGAAGGCGGAACCAAAGGGATCTTTTGGTCTTCCAGAACATAACTGGCTGATTTTAAAACTGTAGGGAAAATGCAGATGTGAGTCTGCAGCAGTGTTTCTGAGACAGAAGGGCCAGTGTCTGCTGGTGGTGGGCGCTGTTGAGGGAATGCCATCAGGCTGGGCTGCAGCGATGGCGTCTTTCCCTGGACGGCACGATGACTCTTCCTGCCCGTGGCTGCCATGTGACATGGTGGTCTTCATTTCCTAGCTCTGCCTAGGGACACGCTTTCCTGGGAGGAAGTGCTGTGTCAGTGTGACACACATGGCGCCGTGTGCTCCCTCTAGCTCTACTTCCCTGGTGTTCATTATGGGAAGCTCCCCGTCCCTGTCCAGAGCAGTTCTGACACAGGCATCACGAGAGAAATGCTCACTTGTCACCGTGTCGCCAGTTAAATCACCAGGGTTCTGTTGATGGGACTGATAGCTAAGAATTCCTTGGGGTTTCAGTGAGAACAAGAAAGCGGAGGTTGAACCGCACATTCTAGAAGTACAGCTCCTCAACTGTGTATCTTTTCTAGGGTCTTTGTCGTTTCTAGACAGCAAGTTCGTGTGAAACGAGCACAGACTCTGTGTGGGGGAGGAGGCATCCTGTCTTCTTCTCACACTCTGGCCTCTGTGCCCCCACAGGCCATGGGCATATACCTTTACGGGGAGCTGATGCTGAGTGAGGACGCTGGGCAGCAGCAGGTCGCCCGCAGGTGCTTCAAGCTGACCAGGGAGCAGATGGATAGATCCTCAGCAGAGGTGGTGGCCGAGATGTTATTTTAAAAAGGTGATTCTCTCCCTTTCCTTTTTCTGTTGTTCCCTTCTAACCAGAGATTCCTCTTAGGAGCCAAATAAGTCAGTAGCCAACTGGTGAGCCTCAAGCACCGGCAGCCTCTGCCCTCTGCTCCCACCTGAGTGATGAGTGGCCTTGGAGAGCAGGCCCAGTGGGATGCCTGCTGGAGCGCGAGGCCCAGAGGCCCCAAGGCACCTCGTCCCCCGGGCGAGTGGTCACTGGAAGGCAGAGGCCGTCCACCCAAGCGGAGCGGCTCTCTTGGCGCTGTTATGGCCACTTCAGGTTTTGTTATTTGTAGGAACACAAGTCATGGGAGAACATCTTGAGTGGGTTCAGGAGGTGGGCCGGGGAGCCCAGCAGAAGCACTGCTCCCCAGTCTTCACGGGGAAGTCTGACGGGGAAGTGTGCTTGCTGCCGGGTGATCCCAGATCCTGAGTTGCATGCAGATGTCTTCTCCTCCCAGGCTGTGAGAGAACTTGAGGTTCCTCAGGCTGTCCCCGTCTGACCCATGAGGCTGGCAGGAGGCCCTCGGCCAAAGGGTGCTGCTCGCTTCTCCATCACCCCGTGTGTCTTCAGGCACAACTTGTTACCTGGTTGCGTTGGAGCAGAATTTCTCCCCAGTGTATGCTGGACTGGGAGTCCTAAATTACTTAAATGACTTCCTTTGTTAATTGTGCTTAGAATTTATCTGTTAGGTTGACGTCCTAGCAGTCAGTTTTTCTAACTGTGGGTTTCTGCATTTTAAAAGTATTTAGCAGTGGTACATAAAGTTTTGTAAGTAGAACTGTGAGATTATAAGTGTATTTTTTCCTCTGACAATCATTATCGTTTATGTGTCTTCTCAGTTTTTCTTCAAGGTTTTACATGATATAATAGGGTGTATCTAATTTTATATCTTTTTTTAATTTAGTGTCAAATCTCAAGCATTTTTCATGTATATAGCTTCTCTATAGATACAATTTTAATGGATATTAAATATGTTGATATTCTTAACCCATTGTTAGACGTTTAGTTTGCTTGTAATGTTTTGCTCTTATAAAAACCATTTCTGTCTAATATGTTTGTCTTATTTATTTGAAAGAACTCTAATACTGAGGAGAGCGAAAAAGTTTTTCTCGAGTATGGTCCTGTTCTCCAGAAGAGTCAGGGGACTGTGTGCGGGAACGGGGACAGTGGAGGCCATGGCAGCAGCTGGCCCTCTTGTAGTAGAGCCGCCGCGTGCCGCTCACAGACCCGCGAGCAGCCTCAGGCCCTGTTCAAGACGGACAACCCGTGTGAAACCAGAGCAGTCACGCAGTTAGCTTGCTGCCAGCCTTCTGCAGTCATTGGTAGATGTCAGATTTCTCTTTGGACGTTCCGTTCCATGGAGGGGGTGTGTTTCTAGAAGTGTGTGCGGCTGCACTAGGGCATCTGTCCTTTGACGGGTCCCCGTCCTCCATGGGGTGGAGGCCACACAGCGCTGGCGGGTCTTCCTTGTGATTTTTTGCCCCAAGCAGGCAAAGGAGTAGCCTGGTCCCGAGTCTGCTGTTTTCTCACCTTCCCTCCTGTTGTCGCCCTTCTAGACAAACGTGGGTCACGCGCACCCCTTCGCCCCCACCCCCGCCTTCTCCGTGAAGAGCAGTGGCGAAGGCCACTCTGAGTGGCTCCTTCCAGCTGTCGGGAGTCCTTCCCAACCTGGGGGCGGGGGCACAGACGTCCCAGACCGCTTGGACTCCGTGTCCCGGGGTGCGAGGCAGTGCGCCGACTGAGCGAGGGCCGCCACAGGAGGGCCAGGCCGTGCGGTTTCCACTTCACGTCCCAAAGCTGCACCGGCATTTGCATCGTGGTCTCTGAGTCCTTTTGATTTAAAAAATTAGACCTCTAGGACTCCCAAGTAAATGAGCAACAGACAAAAATAAAACCCCTTTGGTAGCGTAGCAGGCCTGGAGGTGGTGTCGTTGCCTCATGTCTGAGGAACCCGGTGCATGCGATGTGGGCTGTGACCCGGCAGGCACGGCGCTGCCCCAGAGTGCTCTGGCTGCTTGGGTTCCTGGCATGCTGATTTGTGACTTAAGATTAAAATCACATTGCCAGGGATTACCACGCAACCACGACCTTGGCTGCTCCTCCAGAAGCCATAGTTCTCTCTCTGCAGTTTGGAGAACAGATGCATCTCATAGCTCTTCTCTGGAAACAAGAAGCCAACAGCCGTGGAAGATGCTCACCGGCCCTTTCATTTTGCCCAGCCGACGACCTCTCTGATGAGGTGCAGAGCTTAGCTGATTGGTGAACAGTGACTGGTTTCCGCTTTGTTCACAGTGGCTAAGTTCTGCACCTGAAGAGAAGGTGAGATGGGGACAGTTAAGTTGGAGCTGCTGGGGCAGAGGCCACAGCTGAGCGGGCAGCTCGGGTGCCAAGCACGATTCTGGAGGATGAGAGACCCGCTCAGCCACAAGGATGCGCTTTCTCCTGTCGTGAATGCGACGAACTCAGCAAAAGTCTACGGAAATATAAATCCACTAATTAGGTATCTGTCTGAAAGGTCAAATGTATTGAAAGCTGCAAAAATTATTATAAAAAACTAAAACCAAATGCATCACGAAAGTCAAATAGAACCATGTCCGCGGTTGGTTGGTGTGAGGAGGGCTGGGCGCTCCACAGGAGACCCTTGGTGTCCCTTCCCAAGCATGGTGAACTCTCTCATGTATTTGCAGTCTAGGTGTGCTGTAGCCGCGCGGGACGAGCCGAGCGCCTCGCCAAGGCGCTGCTTCTCCGGGCTGTCGATTGGACCCGCCCTCCGGTGCCTACTGAGCTGATATCAGTTCTCATTTTACACACTGGCTCAGTTCAGCAGGAACAGGAGTCGAGCCCTAGAGCGAAAAGCCTTCCTGTCTGTAAGTGCCTGGAGGCCGGGAGCTGGGACTCCCCTCCCTGAAGACAGACCGGCGGCGGCGCGGCTGTCCCAGAGGCCTGAAGCTCTGCACACAGTGAGCTGCCTCCCTGCAGCAGAGGGTAGTTAGCACCGTACGTGTGGCGCAGGCTCGAGCACCTCCCTCATGGTGTCCTTCACGCTCTCCCAGCGCAGTTGGAGTGAGTGCGGGTCTCACAGGGGCCCTTTCTGGGCTCTGTCTTGTGACTGAAACCTCGGTCACAGCCGCTGGCTTTCAGAGCCGTGTGTGAGCCAAGCGAGTGGCACACGGTTCCATGGTAAACCCCGCTCTCGGGGTTGGGAGATGTGGCCAGGCCTCACCTCGTCCTCCACTCAGAGCCCTCTCTCCAAAGCAGACAGCACGGGTCACAGTGGGACTCGTTTACAAGAATTCCTTCGTTGTGACCCAGCAGTAAATTTTATTGCTGTTTCCTTTGCAGGAAAGATCACAGCGAGATTCTTTCTCATGCGTCTCCTCCTAGCCCTGGTGGGAGCAGAATCCATTGACCCTGGACATCAAAGGAAGGATTACGGGGCTGCTAAAGCCATCAGCCGACAGCAGGGTCCACGTTCTTGATGCTTCTCTTTCTAGGGGCTCATGAAAGAGGCGGTCCTCGTAAATGGTCTGTGCGGCTGTGTGCTGCCTTTGTCTCCTGCCCTGGCCTCGCCCCTTCAGGATACCGAGTCTGAATTGTAGCTCTGCTGTGAGTTTAAGGCAGTTCTTTCACGCAAATGATTGAAGATAGGAGACACGTTAAAAACCCTGCTGACCATTTTGCATTGATACCCCCAGCATGTGGCTGCAGTGGTATTTCTATAATTCCAAAAAGTCACGGGGTTTGTCTACACTGGGACCAGTGAACACCACCGTTGGATGTCTTCCCCTGGGCCATTTCAGAAGGATTCTGCAGAATTATTTTGATTGATATGTTCATTATTTAGATTTTTCGAAAATTTTAGTACCTTTTTGTAAAGGTGCAGGATAAAAATCTAAGGTGTGTTAACAATAAAATATAGTGGATTAAAATTTTTGTATTCTGTTTGCTTCTGAATTTAATACTGTTTAAAAAAAGGAAAAAAATTGTGTAAGAAGAGGACATTCTCTGCACCCTGGTGTTGCGCCTTTCCCACCCCGAGAGTTCCTTTCCAGTTTCAATGGAGTGTTGATGTCCTGGGAGGCGGCCCGGGTATGAGGGTGCTCTTGCCCTAACTGAGGCACAGTCAGCACCGTGGGAGTCTGTGGTGATGTCGCCTTTCTTTCCCACAAGTGTTTGAAGTTAAATAAAGAAAGAAACTGAGCTTCCAGTACTGTCCAAAGGGGACGATGGTTTGAAATGCCAGCAGAAGTCTCGGTGGTTGGTGCAGCCACGTGGTTGGTTGGCGTGATGGCGCCAGGGGCCGAGCTGAGTGGGGATGAGCCCAGACGCGGCTCCTCCTCCCGCCTGGCTCTGGGGCTGCGTCCGTCCGCCAGCTCATCTGGGCTGTTAGAGGTGAAGCACGGCTTTAACACCTGCCTCCTTCAGAAGCACTTGGTCTTCAGTATGATTTGGCAGTGACTGTCATTCTAGAAGGTTTCCTAGGCATTTGCTATTTGCTGTTATGTGTGCTCTGCATATGATGGTACGTACTTTGTTTACCATATTGGTAGAAAAATCAAAATTTGATTTTTAAATTTGAATAAATATAAGAATGCTGCTTTCTGTGAAGACTTGGAATAAATGCTTTTACCTTCTGGTCGGCGTGAGTGTGTTTGGCCTTCTGTGAGGCAGGCAGGGCAGGAAGGGCCCAGGGGCCCAGACAGTGCCCACCCGCCTGCCCACCTGCGTGCAGACAGCCCTCAGCACCCCCTTGTGTACCATCCAGGTCTGTGCAAGCACACTCTATGATGTTCACACGACAAAATCACCTAACGACTCATTTATCAGAACATCTCCCCATCGTTAAGTGCCGCATGAGTGTATTTCTTATGCTCAGCCTGGAGGGCAGCTCATAGCTTCACTTCCACTCAACCTGGGACAGTGACAGGGGTTGGGGGGACCGCTGAAGCCAAAAATGTGTTCCTCCAGGGGCAGCGGGGATCAGAAATGGTGCCACTAAGAAAGTGTGCTGGGGGGCCGGCCCCGTGGCTTAGTGGTGAAGTGCGTGCGCTCCACTGCTGGAGGCCCGGGTTTGGATCCTGGGCGCGCACTGACGCACCTCTTGTCAGGCCATGCTGTGGCGGCGTCCCACTAAAGTGGTGGAAGATGGACACGGATGTTAGCTCATGAGCAGTCTTTCTCAGCAAAAAGAGGAGGATTGGAGTGGATGTTAGCTCAGAACTGATCTTCCTCACAAAAAAAAGAAAAAAAAAAGTGTGCTAGACTCCCATGCGGACAAGTCTTTGTGACGTCCAGCTGGCCCCGTGGTTTGGTTTGGTCTTGTATTTTACAAAAAGTTACAGCCATACTTTGTCATCTTTAGGAACCACTGAGGTAGAGCTGAGTGGCCACACGCATGGGATTTTGCACAAAGACACCTTGCTCCTGTGATCCACTAAGTCCTGCAACTGCCTCTGACCACTGGTTATGGCCAGCAGGCGGTGGTCACTCACGGAAGGGTCATCAACACTGAAGCCCTGGGCCGGCCCCGTGGCTTAGCGGTTGGGCGTGAGCGCTCCGCTGCTGGCGGCCCAGGTTCGGATCCTGGGCGCGCACCGACGCACAACTCCGGCCATGCTGAGGCCGCGTCCCACATACAGCAACTAGAAGGATGTGCAGCTATGACATATACAACTATCTACTGGGGCTTTGGGGGCAAAAATAAATAAATAAAATCTTTAAAAAAAAAAAAAACACTGAAGCCCTGAATCACCACCTTTCCTGTGCCGGGTGTTGTCCCCTGGGGGTGGTGGGGGAGGAAGGGCAAGCAGGCCTCTGTGGGGACTCCTGTCTGCCCTCCAGCCACACTCAGTTACCCACTTCATTGGAGTTTCGAGGGATCCTGTGGGTGTTCCTGGCTTGCCCCTCTTGAGTCTAGGAGGACTTGAGAGAGTGTGTGGTAGAGGAACCTGTGGCCAGGGCCTGGTAGAGGCCACTGGATTCCAGAGTGGCCTCCAGCCAATTTCAAGACATTATCTAAGAGTAAAACTCAATATTTTTTAAATGATTCATCTGGTTTTTTCTTTAAAAAGCTTCATGTTGGTAACTCTGGCGGGCCACCTGGGGCGTGTAACGGGATTTGAGTTGGAAAGCACAGTGTGGCCCACTCTGGTTGCTTTCTCAACGTGACCGGAGCACCTTCCGAGAGCTGCCTCAGTCCAGGAGGGAGTATTTGCAGAGGACCCAGGAGCCCTGGCGGACAGAAGATGATCGGTCTCCCCAGGATATGGGTGTGCCAGGGAAGGAGGGAGCCTGCCCTTTCCAAGTTCCCAGTGTGGGTGAGGCCTGAACAGATTTAATTCTGTCTCCAAGGTCACATACCAAGTGACAGGCAGGATTTGAATGTGGGTCCACGTGGCTGGGGATTTTCCTCACCACCACAGTACCTCTCAGGATGTGGACCGTTGGTTCAGTAATACGCTTCTCAGGGACACCCTGTCTCGTCACTCAGCAAGCCGAGATTTGAGAGGCCTGCAGGCCTACCCAGTTTGCTGTAAGGATGGGCCTCCGTGGGGGTAGGGCCAGGTGGCACCTGCTTTGTAAAGCATGGAAACTTGAACTTGAATCTGCTACAGTTAACTCACCATGGGGACAGCACAAAGACCTGTCCGCATGGGAGTCTGGCACACTTTCTTAGTGGCACCATTTCTGATCCCCGCTGCCCCTGGAGGAACACATTTTTGGCTTCAGCAGTCCCCCCAACCCCTGTCACTGTCCCAGGTTGAGTGGAAGTGAAGGTATGAGCTGCCCTCCAGGCTGAGCATAAGAAATACACTCGTGTCACCTAATGACGGGGATAAGTTCTAAGAAATGCGTTGTTAGGTGATTTTGTCGTGTGAACATAGTGTGCTTGCATAGACCTGGATGGTATAGTCTATTACACACCTAGGCTACATGGTACTAGTCTTATGGGACCACCTTCTTATATACAGTCCATCATTGACTGAAACGTCGTTATGCGACGTGACTGTACACTGATAGGAACAAGCCTGTTTACCAACAAGGTAATGCCTCCACCCAGCAGAGGGACCAGGACAGAGGAGGATCCCACACGTCACCATCGGTCCCCTGGTCGAGTGAAAGCAAGGAAACCCCAGCCCCTTCTGTCTGTCATGTATGCCTTCCTAAGCTGCATGTGAACTTGACCCTGACACACTGGCAGCATTTGCTTGCCATCAGGATCGGTCATGCCACAGGGGGCCATGTGGGCTCCCACGACAGGTCAGCCCCTTCTGAGGCACCCCAGGCCAGGCCTCAGGGTTGAGGAGCCTTCCAGGACATGGGGGCACCAAGGAGGCGGGCAGATGGCAGGACCCCGCCACCCCAGCCGGGTGGTCAGCACAAAACCAGGGATGTTTTAATTTGGGCTTTTCTACAGGCTTATTACAGAGCGGGAAGAGGCAGCCTTGTCCTCTGAGCGAGTCAAGTGGTTAATTGCCAAGCACTGTCCTCAGAGAACAAAGGCTCCGGAAATGGAAGCCCCCTCTGCTCCTTAGTAAGTAGACCCCTGTGCCTTCGCACAGCAGGTTGGGTTGGGGACAAGGGTACACTTTTCCCGAGGCCACTTCGGCTTCCAGCATGTATGGGAACAGGCCAGGTCAACCTGTAGTCAGACCTCGGGCGGCCAGGCCTCTGATGTCCCCCAAGTACCCCATCCTGCACTTGGCCTGCCCGGGGCCTGGCTGTCACCCCTGGTCGGCCTGAGGCAGCCCCTGTTCCCTCCCACCCAAGTTGGGCTGAGCTTCCGGAGGAGGGGGTGCAGGAGCGCCCCAGGAGGCCTCACTGCCCCTCCTGCTCCCACCCCCCAGCCTTGGCTCTGGGCAGCAGCCAGCGCAGGAGCAGTGCCCGGAGCACTGTTGGCCTCAGTGGGAAGTGTGGGGGGGACAGGGAAGAAGGACAAGGGGAGACGTCTTCCTCTCCCTCTTGGTCTCTAGTTTAGGATTATAGGGCTTTAAAGCATTTATTTTTATTGGAATTTCAAATCAAAACATTGAAATGATAGTCTCCATGCCAAACGAAGTACAGAGATGTCACATTAGCAGGCAGAACCTGGTGCCCCAAGTATAGGACCCAGAAATAGCAACCCGTCCCTTTAATACAAAGAGCAGAGCTTTCAAAGAAGAGTTTCAGGCAGATGTTTCTGGTGCGTCTGGCTCTCTCCTCTGACCTGCTTGATTCCGTGTGGAAGCCTGAGGAGGCCAGGAGCCTTGTGGGGTGTGCTCTCGCACAGCAGTCCTCCGCCGTCAGCTTCACCAAAGGTAACTAACCCCCCCTGGGCGGCTAACAGCAAACGCTGCGTGATTTATGCTCAAGGGGCAGTGTTTTCAGAGCTTTACGTTCCGGGCCCGCCACCTCCTCGCTCTCTAGATGGAGCTGCCGGGGGAGGAGCACTGTGAGAGGGGGTCTGCCAGCATGGCACTGCGCAGACCTGCCCTGTGAAGTGAGCCGGGCCGGC